CTGCAGGTAGCGACAAAGCGAGCCAGTGTGGCTATATTCCAGTGGGGCCCTGGGTAGCTATATCCTGGACAGTAGATGGATGGATTTAACATGAACTCTTGTCAGTTGCTTTAAGGAAAAACAAGAAAAGTCCATGGATCCCTTCCATTTTAGGCTTTGCTCTCCCTCTCTGGGTGAACAGAGAGAGGCTGAGCTGCCTTTCTCCCAACAAATTAAGAGCATGAAGGGAGAGAAATTGACACCTAGATGGATGCCTCTGATGGCTGTCTTTCTCCTCCCTGCAGACTGTGGGCTACTGTGTGTGTAGAGGAGGGGCAGGGTGGCACACAGAGGCCTTTGTACCCTTGGCTAGCAGAACATCAGGTATGGGGATGCAGGAGACACACATGGACAGGAGGATGGAAGAAGCTGACTCATATCTTGTGTGGGTCTCTCTGAGCCCCCAAACCATAGTTACTGATGGCACTGATCATGTGTCTTCCAAGCTTTGGTCTTTTGTAGGCAGCAGGCACCCTCCTTCTGAGTTTCTGTCTTGCTCTACTTCCCCAATTCAAAGGAGAGGGCTGGAGTGGGGGAGGGGGACTTGGGGAAGATTAAGGCTCAGTTTTTGTTATTGTTTTTGCAAATTGGCACATACAACAATGATGCTGGTTCACAACAGATTGCACAGTTTCCTGAATTTTACTCTTTTCCTTACCAATCCCAGGGTACTTTGGTTAAGTGCCAAAGATCAGTTAGTTTGTTGATAGCTCTTTCCAGCCCACCCTTCCTCAGATGTTCGTGCTGCCAGAGGGAAGTGGGTCTCTCCAGTCTGATTTGCCCTAGCTGTACCCATGCTGACTGGCAGTGGACACTTCCTTTTTTAAAAATATACATTTTTTTGCCGAAACCGGTTTGGCTCAGTGGATAGAGCGTCGGCCTGCGGACTGAAGGGTCCCGGGTTCGATTCCGGTCAAGGGCATGTACCTGGGTTGCGGGCACATCCTCAGTAGGAGATGTGCAGGAGGCAGCTGATCGATGTTTCTCTCTCATCGATGTTTCTAACTCTCTATCTCTCTCCCTTCCTCTCTGTAAAAAATCAATAAAATATATTTTAAAAAAATTAAAAAAAAATACATTTTTATTGATTTCAGAGAGGAAAGGAGAGAGAGAGAGAGAGAGATAGAAACATCAATGATAAGAGAGAATCATTGATTAGCTGCCTCTAGCACATCCCCCACTGGGGATTGAGCCTGTAACCCGGGCATGTGCCCTTAACCAGAATCACACCCGGGACCCTTCAGTCCATAGGCTGAAGCTCTATCCACTGAGCCAAACCAGCTAGGGCTGGACACTTCCTTTTTAAAGTGCCAACAAAGGGTTTCTTACCAAGAATTGCATAGGTAGAGAATCTGACTACTCTAAGATTATAGAATCTGTCTTCCTTCCCCTCTTTTTTTGGGAAGCTGGTTGCTGTGTGCATGTCTTCAATATTCTACAACACAAAGCTAAAAATACACTGTTTAAGATTCAGCTATCCAAGCAAGAATATAGTGTAAATAACATTTGGGAGAGAGATGGCTCAGAGGGAGAAGGGAAAGGGGACATATTGTAGAGGGGCATGTGGGGTGGAGGGCACAGGGATGTCTGTCATGTTGTTACTCTTTATTCTCAATCCATATTTTATGTCTACTGAGTATTAAGTAAAAATAAGTATAAGACTGTAAAAATCAGGTTATAGAAAAGAACATTTAGTATGATCCCCTTTTTTCTTTTAACTGTATCCTATATAATAAAAGGCTAATATGCAAATTGACGGAACAGCAGAACAACCGGTCACTATGACTCGAACTGACCACCAGGTGGCAGATGCTCAACACAGGAGCTGCCCCCTGGTGGTCAGTGCGCTCCCACAGGGGGAACACCACTCAGCCACAAGCCAGGCTCAGGGATGGAGAGCGCAGCGGTGGTGGCAGGAGCCTCTCTCGCCTCTGTGGCAGTGCTAAGGACCCCTCAGGGATGTCTGACTGCTGGCTTAGGCCTGCTCCCTGAGGGGTCCCGGACTGCGAGAGGGCGCAGGCCAGGCTGAGTAACCACCCCCCCCTCCCTCTGTGCATGAATGTCATGCACCGGGTCTCTAGTGTATAGTAGAATCTTAAACAGTGTATTTTTAGCTTTGCATTTTTGAAATATATACATACACACACACACACACACACACACACACACACACTCACTCACTCACTCACTCACTCTAGAGGCCTAGACTGTGGGATCAGGCCGAAACTTGCTCTTTGACATCCCCTGAGGGGTACCAGATTGTGAGAGGGCGCAGACCAGGCTGAGGGATCCCACTGGTGCATGATTGGTGCCGGGGAGGGACGCGGGAGGTTGGCCAGCTGGAGAGGGGCCACAGGAGGGCTCCAGGGTATGTCCAGCCTGTCTCACTCAGTCCTGATTGGCCAGATTCCAGCAGCAAGCTACACTATCGGCTCCCTGGTGGTCAGTGCACATTATAGCAACTGGTCAACCAGTTGACTGTCTTAGCATATTAGGCATTTATTATTAAGGATATATAATCATTATTATGTGTATTCTTCCACAGCTTTTTTTTCTTTTAACAATATGCTTATGGGATTCACCTGTGTTACTTTGTGTAGCTGTAGTATGCTTGCTTTCACTCCTGCTGATATTTCAGTGTATAACTACACCACAATTTATTTTTAATTCACCCCCTTTTATGCTTGCTATGAGCATTCTTTTTTTTTTTAGAATAACAAAAAATATTTTACTAAAACATAAGATTTACAGAAGTTTCCAGATAAGCCATACAAATGGTCACAAGCTTTTCTTGAAGGGATAATTCTACATCTGACAGCAAAGTCACAATGTTATTTGTGAGGGCCATAGTGTTTGCTTAATGTTCCCATTTTGGTTCAATCAAGCAAGCTTGTCCACCTATAGCGTCTAAATGAAGTTAGACTTGGCTTGAGAGCATATTCTGAAGAACTGGTTAGCTGCACTTAACCAATGCAATTAGATCACCATATAAAGGGGGAAAGGAGCCCATAAAATTAAAACTAAACTACTTACCCCCTCAAAAAACATAAACAAAAACACCCACAACCCGGCAGCTAACCCTGACAACTACCTTCATTCACAGTGCTTTATACTTAAACCATGATGGGGAGAAATGAATAAAAGCAGAGAGGGGTCACTGCTTTTAAACGTTTCACAAGAGTCCAGATGGTACTTCTAGCCTCTGCTCATGCTTTATAACAGTGAATCAGGACAAGAAATAGATTTGCTAATGTGCATTTAATCACCAAAGGACTGAAGATGTCTGGGCTTTTATTCTGTAATGTTTCTAAGACTGTGTCCATTAAATGCAAACAAAAAAGGAAGAAGTCTTGGCAGAACAGGAGAAGTGATGAACACTTGATGATGAGATCGATTTAAAAATTATTCATGGCATATAGTCTAGTCCAGCCGTGGGCAAACTACGGCCCATGGGCCGGATCCGGCCCGTTTGAAATGAATAAACTAAAAAAAAAAAAGACCGTACCCTTTTATGTAATGATGTTTACTTTGAATTTCTATTAGTTCACACAAACACTCCATCCATGCTTTTGTTCCCGGCCCTCCGGTCCAGTTTAAGACCCATTGTGGCCTCGAGTCAAAAGTTTGCCCACCCCTGGTCTAGTCCATGCTCTAGCTGTTTCTATGGCTTGGGCTTCGTTGGTCTTCCATTGCTCCGCTACATCATTTGCTATGGTTATCTGGATTGGAGGCACTTAAACAAGGCTGGATCATAGCAGACTGTGCGGATCTGCAGTGCTGGGGGACTGCTT